GACATGCCATACTCCCCCGACATCGCTACCGACTCCGGCCTCTCCCAGTCCTTCGGGTTTGAACTGGAATACGACGACCTTGATGAGGGATTGGTCATCGTTCGGTTTGGAATGAGGCTGCCCACGATTTTGACAGTTGGTCCCGCATGGCTGATTGCCTCCTAGCGGGCTAATATGTTTAAAAAACCATATATATAAAGTGACAGATGTCGATTGAGTTCCATGAAAAGGTTCGCGGACGCCATTGCGTTGTTGCCATGAGTGATAGAGGTAGGTAAGAGATCCATGTCGTAGAAAACCGAAAGAAGCCTGAAAGTTATGGCAACGGTTTAGACCCACGAGAACGAACACATGGGGTACCGCCATGAACTTCTCTGTGAGTCGACCTCGCCAATGATGCCATGAGGCCCGATCATATTTTCACCGGATTCCCGGAGTTCCATTTCAAGGGCTGATGTGGGAGGTTGAGAAGGAATTCACGGAAGGGTGTCAATCAGACCTGTAAATACGTCCATGGCCCATTATTATCCTATGGATAGGAAGAAGAAAACAAAATCCTGAGGCTCTTCAAGCGTATATGTCTTAACTTAGTCCAGAGCTCATTGGATAGAATGAATGAATTTCTCCCGAACGCTTCGCTCACTTGCCCCTTGCAGAAACAATTGAGTTTGATGTTTCCAAAGCTTGGAGATGTTTGGCCCAGATCCATGGATGTTTTTGGTTCCGGAGATGCAACATCGGCTCTGTTCTTGCTTTTATTCTATCATTTTTTATTAGTTATTCACGGAGGTATCTTTTTCGGAGTTGAGGCTATGGTTAATTTTTACCTGTCTGCGTATTTCCACGCACAACAACCCGCTTCCTTACCAAGACTACGCTGGAGTTTGTCCTATATTTACATCCACTTATATCTACATTATATTATATTTTATTTATTTTCACGTCTCAGACCCTCACTCTCTAACTAACCTTAATCTTCATGTTAGCTTGGGGGAGAAAAGTTTGATTGTAGTTCAAAGAGACGCGCGGAACTACCATATCCAGTGTTTGCCGGAGCTCTCCAGGGAGAAAATGTGCAGCCGTCCAAGCTCGCGTCTACCAGATTCATGCAAGCTCGGTTGTCCAGAGGGTCTGTGTGCTCTCACAAGTCATGACAGAGGAAGCCAACAGTAATTCCGCTACGAGAATTCATATTCGCTGCTCCGTGGTCCAGGCATGAGAACTTGAGCGGTTGGGCTGAATTCCATCAACCTTCATGATCATCACAACAAGGCCCTCCGTACGCTGGAAGAAACGGCATTGATTGGGATAGGCCTTGGCACGAATTCCCCATATTTCGGCCAATGGTTCAGCGCGAGATTCCTTGCAACCAGACGCAGAGCAGAGTGGTGTGCATGCCCGGCAGAGTTGCTCATGCGCCACAGTTGTGAAGCACTGGGCTCTTGGAAACCCTGCGCCTGTGCTTGTTCGAAAAAAGTCGAATATGATGAAGCAGCAGCAGAAGGAGAGGAATCTCAGTCTCTCGCGAATGGCGTGCCCTAGTACAAAAGCGCTCTAGTTTTACAGCCTCTCGCAAGTTGAAGCGATATGGGAATGTTATTCCAGACCAACCACGCTTCTCGAGTGACTGGGGCGGATGTAACTTCAGAGCTGCTCACCCGATGCTACAAGATAGTGTCGGTGTCAGAAAATTATAGGTCGATTGTTTGAGCCTCGTGTGGTATGGGACTGCTATTGGCTCCCCGACCTCGTGCAGAGGCAAAAATAAAAAAAATTTGAACGATGTAAATAAAAGCAACTTCGGGCTTTGCGAGTGTGTATACGAGGTCATGGCTGGCCTAACAAGCAGCGACTCCTCCGGCGACGCTTTGGGGATGGCGCCTTTGACGGTGGAGTGAGACCGAAGCAACAACTCTCGCAAACGCTGCTGGCGAGAGGCCTGGTGGTGGGAATTTTCTGGCTGCGGCTGCTCCACTTTACTGCCGTCCTTCCCCCGCTCCGCTGTCTGTTAGTTGGGCGAGGAGAAATCCCAAAGGGCTCCAGTCTGGACGCCATTTTAATTTAGTCTGAACTCTCGAGGAATACCGTACGCTGCGTACGTCAGAGTAGTTCATTGTGCCAACTTGTGGGATTGGTGGCACTTAATGCATCTAACTTTTGTACGGCGTATGTTTACCGCGAACAAACCCTCATAAACCGTATCTAGGAGACCAAGGAGCTGCTGGAATAGGACAATGGATGCCGCATAATCCAGTTGCAGGTTCATTATCTGCATCTGATATGCTTGGCTTTGATTCTCGGTGCTTGAGCCCCGGAAGCCTGTTCAGTCAATCGCTCGGTATGAAGCTGCCACAAATATTACCATACAGAACATTGGGGGCAGTTTTCATTGGCAAAGTTAATGCAAGGCCAGGCGAAACACTAAGGATGGTTGTGCGCTCTCACATGTCCGGGGACAGCATAAGGGCCAACTCGCTGCTGGGGTCGTGAATGGCCGTCCCGATCTCCGCGACGTTAGCAGTCGAAAGCCTGCCGCACTAAGGTTTATGCAGTAAGCGGACGGGATGATCAAGCTGATTCCCAGCCTGGACTCAGCGGCTAAAGCAAGATTGGCCAATTCGGTGCTCTTCCTCAAGGAAAGGCCTGTCAAGGAGTCGAGCGAGGAGGTCTGGCTCTCCCGCATCTTCTGGTGCCCATATATACGATGGTTCCCAAGTTTGTGCAAGCCTACAAAACAAGTATCTCTTCACAATTTGCTGGTACACACAGAATCTCACGAAATATTTTATTTGATTACTTTTTTTCCCCTACACTTGGCAATTTGTTTTTGCTTATTGCTTCCTTGGTTTTTCGAGAAGCGGGCAAAAATGGCACTCCAAACTGAGACAATCTTGCAGCCCTCTGCACCAAATCCTGGGGTTATCGATATTGATGTAGGACTCCCTATCGAAGTTCCTGGATTCTCTCCCTCGCTCTCTCTCTCTCTTTCTTGTTTTGTTTATTTCATCTTTAGACTTTTATAGAACTGATAACAGAAGCAGACAGACTTCGCGGACACGGATGGCGACTCAGTCAACAGCATTGGCGGCGGATCGTCGTTTGGAACCTCGCTCTCCTCCTCAATCCTAGAATATAGATACGGTGGGCGCCCATCCCAAAAAGACTAGTAGCAGCTGTGCTTATTGCCGGATCGAATGTTCGTGCTAATGCCTTTTCTATCTCGGGAAAGAAAATGGAAGAAGATATCATGGATACAGGAACGGTTCTTACATGTTACCAAATGACGAGGCCGAACAGGAACGACTCGAGTTACATCACCACATTTTCCGCCTCGTACTAGGTGGTCGCCTCTTCCGAGCACCCATTACCGCCAAGCCGAAGAGAGTGCTGGATTTTGGGACGGCAACGGGTGCATGGGCCATGGACTTTGCTGACGAGTTCCAATCCGCCACCGTCATCGGCAATGATCTGAGCCCCATTCAACCATCTTGGGTACCTCCCAATTGCAAGTTTTATGTCGATGATGTTGAAAGCGAATGGGTGTATACACCAAACGAGGCATTTGATTTTATCCACGCGCGGGGGATGGGCGGGAGCATAAAGGACTGGAACATGCTGTATAACCGTGCACTCCAGCACCTGAAGCCTGGCGGCTGGATCGAGATGCAAGAGTACGAAGCGTGGGTTTCCTCCGATGATGACCCCACGCTTAAGAAGTGTCCCAATACTGCCCGCTGGCTAGCCCTGCTAGACGAAGCGAGTGTAAAATTTGGAAAACGCATGAATGTTGCTCGCGAACAGAAGCAGCATTTGATTGACGCCGGTTTCAAGGATGTTCGGGATGATGTATACAAGGTATCATTTCTCATATCAGTTGATGTTTCTCTCTTTCTCTTTCTTCCCTTTTTAATTTCCTTTTTATTCTGTGTTCCATGAAAACTAACATGGATCCTCCGAGTAGGTCCCAATGGGCACATGGCCCTAAGATCCCAAACTCAGAGGAGATGGGCGCATCCCAGATGGAACACATGTGCAAGTGGTATTGGATTCATTCAGCCTGCCCCTCTTCACTGGGATCTTGGGCTGGAAAATGGACGAAACCCAACTCTTGTGCAATGCAGTACGAAAGGAATTCCGGGACCCCAAAACCCATCTCTTGACTACTTTCCACTTCGTGTATGGACAGCGCCCGACATCGTAAAAGTTATCAGGCGATAGGAAGGGGATTAGGCATGCGGGAAGCTGCCCGCCCCGGGGGGGGGGGGGGGTGGGAAACGAAATTTTTGGGGTCAATAATGTACTATTTATTACTTCTTCCCCAACTTTCCGCTATGTTGGTCCTTTGAAGTGCGGAATACAGCGCCAATATCATACCGCGGTATTTTGCTTCTTTGATCATGATGGAACAACAGTGATGACCATTTGGGTTAGCGGGAGGGATATTTGAGCTCTGCTTTAGCACCAGAGATTGTTCATGACCGTGCTGCTATTTTTTCATGGATAATAATACCTAAGGTATATTTCGTGTACCTGTTACTTGGGGAACTGGGCATGTTTCACTCCTTGGGCTGTTGTGGTGGTGCCTTTGGGCGGTCCTTCACACCACTGCCGCGCCCCGTACGCATTGGAGTCTCGGTATCGTTGTGGGTTATTGTTTGTTATTGTCGTGTTCTGCTCTTCGACATGGTCTCGACATTTCCATCATACCAATCTTTTTAATATTGTTTTAAGTTTGTCTTTTTCTTTGCCTTTTTCTTTCCTTTTCGGCTACCAGCATACCTATAAACATACATACATGAGCATTATAGCAGGAAATGCCAGCCTCGACTCTTTACTTTTCCTCTCCTTTCTAACTTTATCCATTCGGAATCGGATAAGTGAAAAATTATTTCCGTGTCTGTTGCGGTAACCATATTATGATTTGAATTTTCGGTAGTGGTATCCGTATCGATCGTAAATGTTCGCAATATGATATACTTTTTATGTGCTTGGTTGATCATTAACAACTGCCATCAGTCAACATTGGGTCTGTGGGTTTGATTCCTGGCGATATTGAACATCGTTATTCTAGAATGAGGGCCTGAACCATGGATATAGCTCTTACCCCGCAGTAGGTATTGATTAAATCACATTCTATTGAGGTGGTGAGTTGAGAACCTTGGGAGTTTAATCCATTATCCCTTCCGAGGCACAATTCAATTAGTGTAGTAACTACTCCGTAAGCTGGTATGTAGTTCAGAAGTACCAACCAATAATTTCTATATTAAATTCTATGTGATCTGATTTGTAGATACGATCCACTATCTCATATTTTCTGCTTCTGCAATTTTGGAACCTTATTATCATAATGCAGTCGATAAGCAAGTGAGATATAGATAAATAGACAGCGAGTACCACTTTGTACCACCACACCAAAATTTGTATATGATGTTGCTTTCTCAAGTTTGTAGTGTTTGTTTTATAAAGTAACATCACATACAAATTTTGGTGTGGTGGTGCAAGGTGGTACTCTCTTATCAACTATGTTAATCCATCCAGATCTGAATCATAATTGAATTTATCTGCCATCCACTCAAACTTATGCCTGGTGTCAGTACAAAAGAAGGAGAACAGAGAGGAATAAGGACAGAGCTTCAAGAACGAGATCTGGTTGTGCTGTATGTAATAATATTCCCCTCTGTTTGAAGAGCCAGTGTTGGCCGAAGGTTCCATTCTATATCTTAATTAGGGCTAGATCAAATAACCCGATTACATAGAGTAATATATAAAACATGTTAATAGTTACAGCCAATCTCTTAAAATCCATTCGCGTTTTTGCAATACTAATGTACACATAAAAAACGTCGCTAATTGTGAGGCTAGACGAAGGGATAGAGGAACTTAAAACCAGATAGCGTTTTCTTTAGAGTTTATAGCATCTAATGCCAGCTAAGCCGTAAGTATCAAAATGGATTTGATAACAAAGTTGACAACAACTTGTAAAATTATAAATATTGAAAATGTTGATGTGCGAACAAGCCTTTAAAGTTCGCTTCGATAGTAGTTATATTGATTGAAATTTGAATTGGATATAATTTCACTATTAAATATTAAAAAGCCAACTAGTTCTACAGTTGTATTTTAGTTAGAGTAGCCGCTGGAACTATGAATTACACATTTGGTTTAGTTTGGTTTAGTCCCAGTTCATTTCTTGACATGACATGAAATGAATTATGGATTAGAATGGAAGGGTAAAGTGACTGACTATTTAAAAAATAAGAATATAATTTAATGAGTGGCAAACCAGTCAGCTAAATAACTAAAAACCCATTCATCTAATCATGATTTTGACTGAAATTTGGTCCCATTCTGATGATTATATATAATACCAATCTAGATATCAATTTGATAATATAATTGGTGGAGATATTACTTTTATCTAGTGCTGCTAACCTATCTATCACTGTCAATCTATATAGAGGGTAAATTATGATTCCATTTGGTCCCATTCAGAACTGTTAATTTATAAATAAAACATGATCTGAGACTAGAATTATAATATAAATCATGTAAAGTGACTGATTTGATAAACACTATATGGGACCCGAATTAAAATATCTGATAATGGAATTGACAAAAATTTGGTCCTGGTCCCATGCATGGTCACACAGTCAGTTTAAAATTTTTAGTCTCAGTAATTAAAGTTATTGAATATGCTTTTATAGTTATACTGTTTGCCTACTAGCTTCCAACGCTGAAAAATATAAATGTAAAGATAGAACTGAACAATTAATATTCCGATTGAAAAAAATATATTAATATTATCATGAGTACTAATTGAAAATAACCGTAATAATCAAATATATATTAACTACTTTTTTCATTTATTATGAAGCTTATTATTTTATATATTAAGATTATTTTCTTAATAATACAGCAAGTATTAGCAATAGTAAGTTTTAGTATTTATATTTTTTCGGCATTTTCGAATATAATAAACATAATACGCGCTAATAATTTTTTATATTTATAGAACGAAGGTGAATTTATCCATACCAGCAATAATGAAGTTGTAAACAAGCATTTAACATCGTACCCGCAAAATATCAATGATGTTGAAGTTTCTATGTCAGAATTAGATGAGAAACCCCAGCAATCTGCACCAGCGTCTAACTTATTGGATATTCGGTTTATTCATTGTCATGAAGTTGAATGTGCAAACTCATACCAGTGTTTGATACAATCATGTGGTCCTTGTGTTGGCATGGACCCAATTAAAAATGGGGTTTGTACTGATCTCCACTAAGTCTACTTTATGATCAATTAATGAGATGATATTTCTATTAGTTATTACTAGAATTATTATTTAATTTTATAGACTCGAAAACTATAATATTTTTGTATTTATCGATTCCCATTATTAATTTAACTATATATAAGTTCCTGATAATTATTATTTCTACACCGCTGAACGCGTAGAAGGTATGCGGGAACTCAGTATAAGTATATATAGAAAAGGTGAAAAACCGTGCAGCAGCCGCGCCGTTGGTGGACTAAGAAACCCCTTACTCAGCCAGTTGTATTACATCCTCTGATTAGTTCAATGAGTTACTAAGGAGCAGTCTATGCTGTTCATGAAGGAGAAGAAAGGAAGGAAAAATGTCAGTCAGATCAAGAAAAAGGATCTAAAGGAGTTAAGAACCTGTTCGGTATGGCTTTATGTACTCGTTCTTTTTGTACGGATCTCCACTTTTTTAAAAAAGTACAGCTCAATATGATGACTGTTCAGTGGGCAAAGCAGCTGTACTAATATTACAGCTTCTGTTTGTAAAGTACAGATGAAAAAGGCCAGATGTTCAGTGGATTTGTAGTTCAAAGATGGCTTGAGCTGTTCCAAGCTTCTAAGCTTTGCAGCTCTTCTTACGCTGTATACAAAAAATAATAACTAGTACGCTAGCGTAAGTTAATGGTTGAACCAGCAATTACAGGTAACAGCTACCGCCCTATATAAAGAATTAACCCTCTCAGGGGATGCTGGGCCCGCCATACTTTGGCACTATATAAACACGTATGATTTTTATTGAAAGAGAGAGTATATAATAAAGAATCAGCTCTGAAAGATTTTACAAGTGCTTTAGGTCAATATTAAGAAAGATAAACTATAACTTAGTAAGAAGTATAATCAACAGAATAAAGTAGTATTGAGTACAAAGAGATGATATACTCACGCTTTATGACTAAGAAAAAACCCTTATAGATTTGAGACATCTCCAACTTCCATTCCACCACAAACTAAGTTCTCCTTTAGACATCTGATTTCATTTAGGTACTGTCGTTTTGAAAGATTCTAACAGCTTCAAAGAATGCAAGATAAGAAATTGAGAAAATACTAGCACTACAGAGCTGTGATTCACAGAAGATCAGTTACAGAGAATCAGCAGCGTTTGAGTATCATAATATAATCAGTACTAACTGAATATCAGTGCTAATTATCTAGATCAAAAAATCCATAAGATAGCTGACTTCCTATCAATCATGCCCAACATCTTTACTTATAAACAGCACATATCAATAGCGGCCTATCATTGCATGTCGGATGATGGGAATATCTGTGATTGTTAAGTTGATGTATGTACTATACCTGTAAAAATAGCTCGATCCCTCCAAATAATTGATTGGATGTCATTAATATTGGAGCTCGTGCAGTGGAGACTGCCTCGATCTCGTATCGTATATTTGGTATAGTTGATGGACAACCCCTATTAGAAGCCTGATCTGATTGATCCCTCGAGGAATAGAGATTGTCAGCTATCTGGCTGCCTACTTTCTCGATATATCCGATGGATTGCTAATAGAATAGAGATCATTTGGCTAGCAGACTACTTACCCGTTCACTGTATTTCCCTCCATCTACACAAGCTCCAGCACTTTGCTCTGGTTTTTGTTGCGGTGGGATAATGTGGATTACGCCCAAACCCGGGCTTCCCGTAACTGGTTTTTAGTCCGTGATTGCCGCGGTGACGTCCTTGCCACTACCCGAGTCCCAAATACGAACCCTCATCCCGCCTCCTTGTTGGTGGTATGGATAACCTAAATGCTAGATAACGGCCTCTTATTCGGACCTTTGTCCCCTTTTTTGCCGCTTGTTTGCCACGAATCTACCCGGGCGGTTTTTATAAGGGGCGGGATTCCCGGAAAACTGGTTCCCGGATTCAAGCTTTAACTATCAGTCCGAAGGGTATTTTTCGGGTTTCAAATGGGGCAGGTCGGGTTCACGACACAATATTATATTTTAATAATTAATATCAGTCGAATCGAATAACTAATAGAGACCAAGCTATGGAGCAGTTTGATCATCATTTTCAATCTATTCTTGTTTAAATTTAATTTCTCTCCACTGTATGTGAAGTCATTCTCATTGCAGTGATATTACTGAATAAAGAGAGCAATGCGGACTTCTTTATAATAAAAGCCTCCCGATTCCATGTTGGTAGCTGAGACATATATGTGCGGTGTGCTAGTCTGCAATAGAAAGTCCAGGGTTCCAACACCTCCCCTCTGTAACTGTGGCCGCCCGCTGATGGGCGCTCCTTTCCTGTAATTTTAGGCGTTGGGCGCGGCTGGCAGGAGACCAGCAGGTATCTCATGGTTAGCACTGTGAAGCCTGACCAGTGCTGATCATTAGTTACCCATTAGACTGCAACCACCACACATATATCTAGAGATTCACCAGCTAGTATTACACATTAAGTTGCAAAATCAAATCAAATAATCAAATCCATCATATCTATATCTATCGAGCCACTCTTCACATCAATCTATCCTTCACCCTTTCGGCATTTGTGAACCTTCAGTTTGTGCCTTTGATGGTGTGGTGGTCGTGGTGGTCGTGGTGGTGGTAGTAGT